CCCCCCCCATGACACTCGTGTCTCCCCCGCAGCAGCAAAGTGTCCCGAGACGCGCTGTATGAGGCGGTGAAGGAAGTGCTGCAGGGCGGACAGGCCAAGCCGCGCAAGTAAGGGCAGGGCAGGGCCGGAAAGGGGGGGGGTGCTAACCTGACCCGACGTGACCTGACCTGACCCCTGCCCGTGCCCGCAGGTTCCTGGAGACGGTGGAGCTGCAGATCAGCCTGAAGAACTACGACCCGCAGAAGGACAAGCGCTTCTCCGGCACCGTCAGGTTGGGCCCTGCTGCCCCTGCCTCCCTGCCTGGGGCCCCCGGGTGCCCAAGCAGGTCTGCTCCCCGGCTGCACGGACCCCCACCCTGGGTCTCTAAACATGAGGGGAGGTGTGGGCAGGCCCCCGGGCCGCCCCGCCGACCACTCGCAGCAGCCAGGGTCCAGGGGGATCGCGCCAGCAGCCGTGGTAAGGTGTCGTGGTCGCGGGCTCCCGCTGAGGCGTGTGGTGCCAGCCGGGCACTGACGGCGCTGCCCTCTCCTTGCAGGCTCAAGTCCACGCCGCGCCCCAAGTTCTCGGTGTGTGTGCTGGGGGACCAGCAGCACTGCGATGAGGCCAAGGCCGTGGACCTCCCGCACATGGACATCGAGGCCCTGAAGAAGCTCAACAAGAACAAGAAGCTGGTGAAGAAGCTGGGTGAGTGGGAGCTGGTGCTGATAGATGGGCTGTGTGGAGGGATGGTCACATCTGATGGACCAGCAGGTGATGATAAAGCCTTTAATGAGCTGTTAAAAGTGTTCTGGTGACTGAGGTGGGGTGGGAAAAATAACAGCTAGAGATCCATGGTGCGAGTTTGTCTGAAGGTGTCATGTGTCCTACATCCTGCAGCCCCTGGTGGTGTATCAAAATCTCCCAAATATCTCATGCCTTGCCAGCGGAGAGTTATTTAAAACATCTTTCAAAGCTGTTCTCTGAACAAAATCTCTTTCTGATGGTAACTTTTGCAATCAGGATGGACTCTTCCTAACACAAGTCATGGTGTACATTTGCCCCTATGGATGACGAGATAATGATCTAGTCCCTTCTGTAAAAAATCCCTGTCCTTTGACTGGTGTGTTGAGCTTGGAATGAAAATGACTAAAGCAATAAGGCTTCTTTGTAAATGTTCTCAAGCAAGAGTCGTGCCCAGTTGGTTCTGGCAGCCAAAGTGAGTGGTTTCCGATTTGCAGTAAGCAGGACCCACCATGCTGGCTTGATCCTAGTGCTGACAGCGCATAGGGATAGCCATTAACTTGTAATATAAAGTGAACTCTCTTCTGATTTTAATGCACAGAGTCCTTACCTCTCCTCATCGTTGGGCTCATCTTGATACCTTTTTGGGAAGGAGGATGCCTTGATTTACTTTTTGGGGTCACTTGTGTTTAAGAAACAGCAGATGGATAATGAGTGTGTGATTACACTGCTTTCCTCTTGTGGCCTAGTGCTGGTGTCTGTGAAGATTATGTAAATACCAACTTTTTTTTTGATCACCCTTTTAATTTATTGTCTCCTAGAAAAAGGTGCAAACAGCCCTGCTACCGGAAGACTGAATCAGGTCTGAATTACAGTGGGGCAGAGGTGCAGCATACTCCCTACTTTAATCTCCTTGTTCTTCCACAGCTAAGAAGTACGATGCCTTCCTAGCCTCAGAGTCCCTCATCAAGCAGATTCCTCGTATCCTGGGTCCAGGTCTTAACAAAGCGGGCAAGTTTCCCTCTCTCCTGACACACAATGAAAATCTGGTGGCCAAGGTCGACGAGGTGAAATCTACCATTAAGTTTCAAATGAAGAAGGTAAATATAAATACTGGTGCCCAAAACTGCTGCCCAGTACAAAGTGGTGGCAGGTAAATGAAGTGATTGGCTGCCTGCCATGGTATATGGATGTATACTTTCTGGAGTGGACTGAAGGTCTCTAGGTTCCTTCCTGATGGGCTGCCAGTAATAAACGTTGAATCCATTCTTTTCTGTGTATTTAGGGAACGCGGGGTAGCGGGGATGGGAATTTAATCTGTCTCTGCAGTTTCAAAAAAACTGATTGAGAAATGGGCCTTATCTTGCAAAATGCTGCATGTCCTCAAACCTTTGGCAGTGGGAAATAAGGACGTGGAGCGCCTTGTATGATGGGCCCCTGCTATCAGGGAAGATGTGCGGAAACTGCAGTTGGCCAGGAGATAAATAGCAGGTTTTGTGTTGTACAGATGGCTTCACAGTAACTGATGTTTTCAGCTTAATGTGTAGAGGAATTTCACAGCCACTGAAGGGCAGAGCAGTGATTTGATTTTAGTAGGGGGGGCGTGTTTTCCTTGTGTTCACTTAGATCAATGATTCTTAACTGGGGTGATGTGATATTCTTTTAAGGGTGCAGTGGGGTGTTGCTTTATCAGCAGCTGTTAGGTGTGCGAGCAACTCTACATGACGTACAAGAAATCCAAGAGATTTCAGATAGGAATTACAGAATCATAGAAAATTAGGGTTGGATGAGACCTCAGGAAGAATCCACAGGGTCAAAAACGTTTTGACTTGATGATGGTGTTTCTGAGTGCTTTGCAACAGAAGACTTACTCTGTTTTGGGACTGAAAAAGTAAGTCAAA